TCCTGCCCAGCTGCCCCTGCACTCCCACGTGCCTGCTCGCTTCCACGCCTTACCGCCTGCCGCTGCTTTCAGTGCTTCTCTGCCCACCTGCTGGGCACTCCTGTACCATGTGGCTCCCAGCTACATGGCTGGACCACTGGAGCATGGGGCCTGCACCGGTACCCTGGGGCCAGGAGCAGGAGGGGCGCTCGTGTGTGCGCGCACGTGCCACCATGCAGTGAGGAAGGGGGAGAGAGAAAGAGCAGTGTGGGAGGGACAGAGTGCGAGTGTGAGAGCACAGTGAGGGAGGGACAGAGTGTGTGTGTGTGTGTGTGTGTGTGGGGTGAGTCCCACATGCACACCCCAGCATACACATGCACCCACAACCCCCCTCGCACTGCCATACATGTAGATCCTGCACCCACACCCCCTCACACACTCCAGACACCCTCCCCCCACACACAGACCCCCATAAACCCCATACCCAACCACACCCCACATATCCACACACACCCACATGCTCCCTCACCCCACAACCCCACCCACACCTTCCCCCACACCTCACATACCCACACACCCACAAACATATATCCACCCTGCTGTGCTCCCACCCCTCCACAATATACAAAAGACTTCATTTTAAGCTATTGTGCAATCAGCTCTATGTACATTACACAGACGCACATAAATCAGGACAAACACATTTTTTCAAAATAAATTAATGAATGTTGTAGATGTTTGATTTTTCAAATATAATTTGGCATTTTTCTAGTTCCAAGATGGGAAAACCCCTTGCTGAAAGGAGTACTTCTGAGGACAAGGGGAGGGACTTCTGGTGGCAAAGGTCAGGGCTTAGGGGGAGGGACTTCCGGTCACAAGATGGTGACCAAGGGCGGGGCTACTCATGTGGCCCTTGACAGTTTGCCAAAACTTGGTAAGCATCCATCCACCCGAAATAATTGCCTGCCCCTGGTCTGTGTCTTCTGAAAACCAATGCTTTAGCTTCTTTCCCCTGCAGGATAGTTATAGCCAGGACTTGATCGGTTCAGTAAGCATTACTGTACCCTGCATAAAAGAGAGACATCCTGAATTTGGGTGAACAAGGGGCTATTTTTAATGATTGCATCACTGCACATTGGAATGCTTTTGTGTATGAAATTTCCTGCTATTGTCAATTCTGATTTCCCAAGTACGTTAGAAAACTTTGTGGCACAATTCCCAAATTGTGTTCTTCCCTTCCGGATGCACCATCTACACTTTTGTGTTTGCAGCTGTTGACGTTCCTTTATCTGCACGCTCTGTTTCTGCTGTTAAAATAATCCCTGTGAAGAAACTGAAAAGTTCTCCTGACCTAGTGCTGCCTACAGGTATTTCCCTCCCCTCCCCGATTGTATTAACTGGCCATGACCACCTCCCTCTGCTTCACCTTCTTGCTAAGATACTCTTTAGCTTCATCCTTCTTTTCCTGCTTTCCAGAGCTGTAGATTTCATCTATAGCTAATAGAGTTAGCTCACGATGACACAGTGTACTGTCTTCAATTATTTTGTTTCTCTGCAAGCTGGGTTCCGTGTAAGCTCTTATACTAACACTTGGTATGAAATTGTTATTGCAACCTCATTTTCAACCAAGCTTCTGACGAGTTCAAAATTTTTGGTCCATATGCAAGTAAACAGACATCAGTGGTTGTATTTTTCAGGTTCAACCCTAGTTCAGCATCTTTGTTTTCCTTTTTGTTTGTTTGTGTGTTTGTCGGGATTTTACAGAACATTTATGCTCCTAATGTTTCAGGGAAATGATGCAGTTCTAAAGCATTAGTGCAGTGCAGTTGCTAGCAAAGCTGATGGAAAAACTGTATTCGTATTTTAGAAGAAATTCTGAGATTTTGAAAATTGGCTTCATCTCAAGTTAGGATGAAAAATACAAAATCTTAGATATTTTTGCAAAATATTGTAAGATGAAAGTTGAAACAATAAAATCAATATAAAATTTTCAAGAATTGCGTGTAAAATGTATTTAAAAAATCAGCATGTTCTTGCAAAATATTTCCATTTAATTGAACTGACATTTTCAATGAGAAACTGATCTAACAGAAAACTTCCAATCAGCTCTAATATCTAGCAATGGAAAGGGTGGTTCTTTACAATTTAAACGAAAAACAGGGGGAAAAAAACAAAACCAGACTTAAGACCCTCTGAGCCTACAAGAGTGCATCTCTGGATCAGCATGTAGAATTATTAGAGCCCAAAGTTCAGGGGCATTCAGATTTAGGGTTTCTGGTTCTAACCTGTCTTTAAATTTTCATGACATGCTATCAGGGGTAATGCATGGAATTCTTTTTGCTCCAATTCCAAGGCAGACCTCGAAAACACTTTATAGAACTGAATGCTGGGGACTAAGAAAATTTTCAAAGGATCAAATGGAATGCATGTTAAGTATCTGATGGACATTTTTAATGGTTAAATTTTCCCCTAAATTTCATTGACTTCATCTTTGAACCAATAATAACCAATACTGTTACTACAGCTGCTAACACAGATAGGTAGGTCCATGACTGGTGTTCCCACAAAGCTTAAGAGGACAGTTATGACTCATTTGTTTAGCAGAGGGTGATAAACAGTCCTACGCTATCTTCTGGGATCCTTACAGGAAGAAAAAAATCAGCGGAAGTGCCTTTAATATACTGCTAGTTTCCTACTCTTCTGTTCCATTTCATATTGATATGATGATCAAGCTAATAACATAGTTTTTAGCATGGTGGAAATAGTGTTATTAATTATTAGTATTATGTACATGTTGGCACTGCCCCCATGCTGTATCCAGGATCACAGCTAAGCCACTATGGTACACCCACTTGTCCCAACTTTTGTGAAGCTCCTAAAAATGAGGGGATGAAAAGATCATGAAATAAAATGTAATTTCAAAGAGAAAATCTGAATTGAAGTGAACATTTCACAGATTCACAGAAGTTTAGGGCTGGAAGGGACCTTGTTAGATCATCAGGTCCAGCCCCCCTGCTGTGGCCAGCAAAGACTGCTGGGGTCAAACAACCCCAAAAAGGTGCATTTCCAGTCTCTTTTTGAAAATCTCCAGGGTAGGTGCCTGCACCACCTCCGTTGGGAGTCTATTCCAGAGTTTGGTCACACAAACTGTAAAAAGGTTTTTCCTTATATCCAATCTGAAACCTCCTTCTAGGAGTTTATGACCGTTGCTCCTGGTTTTCCCATGGAGTGCTTTGATGAATAGTTCGTCTAGCCCCCGATGCTCTCTTCAATATATTTGTAATGTGCCACCAAATCCCCCAAAGTCTTCTCTTTTCTCAGCTGAGCAATCCCGTATCTGCCAGCTTTTCCTCGTATGGCTTACTCTTCAGGCCTCTAATCATACAAGTTTTATCATTTGATAAAACATTTATTTTAAAACAAAGCCTCTGGGGGCAGTTCTGGTTCAGGAACAAATTCATAGTGAAAAAGGCGTTGTTTGGGTTTGTAGTCCCCGTAGCCATGATTCAGCAGGTTACTAACCATGCACTTACCTTTAAGCAAGTGAATCCTCCCACTGATTTCACTGAATCTGCTCCAGAGCAATGAGTTAGGCACAGACTAAATTGGGGCCCATAACTGCAGCGTTGAGTCCCTCTCTGACCCCCTTTTCAATCTCCTAATTCAGGATGTACATCTGCAACCCCCTTAAGCCACTGTTAAGGGGCAGTACCTTGAGGCTAACTGTAATGCTTTGTTTATTTCTGTTGCAGCAGTGCCTCCAGCCTTAGCTCTGGCACTGTCACAGAACAGAGGCACTGTACAGACATTGGGCCAGATCCAGTAAATGGGCATTATTGTATTGAAGTCATCGATGGTGTACTGACCTGTTTCCCTATGAGGACAGATGGCTTCTAATATGTTAGAGGCTGTTATAAAATTGGAGGTGCTCAGCTGTTTTCCTAGTCCACCAAGGTAGGACATGAGGAATTGGCTTAAAATCAGACAGAGAAATTTAGGTTAAGAATTGTAGAAGGACTTTCTAACTTTTAAAGATAGTTAAATATTGGACTTGTGAGGGGAGGTTATGGCATCTCCATCACTAGGAGTTTTAAAGAACAGGTTAGATGACCACCTGTCAGGAATGATGCAAGTACATATGATTCTGCCTCTGAGCAAGAGGTTGGACTACATGGCCTCTTGAGATCCCCACATTTCTGTGATTCTAGGTTTAGTTTGAAGGGTTTAAGGTCAGTGGGACTACTCGGATGTACAAAGTTAAACACTTCTTACTTGCTCTGTTGATTTGGGGCAGCAAAGACAAGGCTGGCATGTTCCAATTGACAGGAAGAACAGAGGCATGATTTTAGTTGGTTGTGTTTTGAACTCCTTTCTGCTCCTTGCACTTGATGTCTCTGCATCAGGATTGTAGTGCAGCCTTGAGGTGAGGTGTACAGGAGTCTCCTATAATGATGCGTGAGCTACACTGGTTATGTGGGGTAGTTTTAAATCTTGTTTCTCCATCAGTCCTGCCCAAGACTCACTGTTTCTTGTCAGTACTCACAGGCTGTAATGCTTCAAACCAGTATCATAAGTAGTACATTGCCTGCTTGTACCGAAGCAATTAGAATGGTACAAAAGTTAGTGGCATAAAATTGGTGTGTAGAAGAGGCCTAATAAAGCAAGCAAACCTGTGAAATGTTTAGCAGGTTCACATACCTAGCAGCTCTGCTTTCCTAGTTCATTTTCAATAATTTGGAATTTTACAACTATATCCATGTTACTTTCCTTTTTTTTTTTTTAAAACAAAAAGTGTGTGTATATAATACTACTCTGATTTCCTTATGCTTTAAGTCCAAAGCTAATCTTCATTTGCATAAACCTACTGGAAAATTTCACTACAGGCACATCCATGCTAAAATTACTGCATACTGTTCTGATGACTCCTCTGAGCTCAGTGTTCTCCTATCCAATGCATCTCCCTTGTGTGCATGTTTTCTATAGACACGGACCCTGCTAAAGTCTGTAGCGGAAAAGGAGCTGTGACTTTGCGGGCATCTCCAGCCTATGAGGAAAGTCAGACTATCTGTTCCCCATGTTCTCAAGATGTCCAGCAATCTGAAAGTAAGTCTGATGTCTGGAAGGTTAACCATAAGATATGACTGTAATGAACTTGCGGCATTCAAAGCCAGATATTGAGCATGAGCACTTCTTTTTTGGGCCGATGACCTCTTTAGCAGAGTTGCAAAAAACCTCTTACAAAAGACCAGGCCAGTGGGTGGAGACAAAGTCCTACAGTTTCCTGGTCTGGGTTTCATGCTTGCCTTTAGGGAAAAGATATGTTTGTTTGTTCACTGCTTCATGTTGCTGTCAAGAGTGCCAGAAACGATCGTATCTTCTTCCCAAACAGATTGTGGTGTATTCTTTCATTCTGGGCCTAGAGTGGGAGCGAGAAATGTCCTGCCATGCTTGCTGCTGAGATGGCATTTTGCCACGGCTGTCAAGGGCACTGGGATGGTATCCCAAGCTGACAGTGTTGCCACAAAACTTTGTCATCTTTAAATAGCAGATGTGTAATTACTTAATTGTGGGGACAAGCAAAGCATAACAAACCCTGCCTCTTCCTTGGGTCTTGCATAGAGAATGAACTCCTGAAGGCAAGATGCCATTAAAAGTTAGGGGTGTTCAGAATCGCCCCTGGAAGTCAAGCGCACACAATTACAGGACCAGTTGTCAAGGGAAGGGTGATTATATTTCTTCCAGCCCTAATGTTCTTCTTTCTACCTCCTCTTTCCCCTCCTTTTCTGTTCCACCCATGACCTCCTCTTTTCATTTGCTCCATTCTCTTACTTCCTCGCTCCTGCCCCCATTGCTTCTCCTTTTTGCTGATGGCTTCATAAATTTTCAGCAGCTTGAATGGCAATGATCCCATTACTATGGAAATGAGTTCATTAATACTTCTCTTTCTTAGTCTCAATCACTTTATGAAACACATTTTGGAATTGGAAGAGCTCTTTGCACATAATGTGAACATCAAAAAGACTAATGTGAGAAGGAACTCAGTGGGAGATGGGTATACAGTCAATAACAACCTGTATCCATGCACCTACCCACAAAGCCTGGGTTGTACAATGACACCGTGTTTCATACCCTGGCCTCCCCCTCAAATGAGTATCAATTTATTGATGTTTCTTTGCACAAGCTATTCATACATAGTAATGTTTATAAGGACAGATATGTTTTGTCCCAGCTGGGCTCATGGTTACATATGGAGACCCTGCCTTTGCAATTTTGTGAGGCATTTGGATGCCAGGCAGTGGCTTGAGAGCAGATAATTCTGCTGCCTTTTTGCCTCTGAAGTGAGAATGTCAATGAACAATTGTTTCTTCATTGCTCTGAATGAATTGCCTTGTGTTTACAAAGGTCAGAAACTGTGAGGGCATCATGTTTAGGGCCAGTTTCTATGGTAATTAGGCCTCCCTGTCAGAAAGTATTTTGTGTGTGAAATGAAAGTATCCTGACTCTTAATTTCGATTGGTACATATTTTCTGTAAATGGAATGGTTTATTTTTTTCTATCCCCCTCTTAACCCCATTCTTCCTTCCCTCCTCTCTGCAAAACACTTAGATCTGGAGCCAGAAAAACCAGAAACAGGTACAAACGCTAGCTGCTTTATTTTGATTGCTTTTGTGTTCCCTGGATGTCTGTTTTATTGTCCAGCAAAAAAACCAAACAGTCCTTTCTCTTTGCTTCCCATGTAACTAGAGTTAATTCTCTGTGACATGAAGTTTGTCCTTTCATTTTTAGATGAATGGAAGTTATCATCTAATGTGGATTCCAATGGAGATTCCCTACCATCTTCTCTGGCTGCCAAGGGTTATAGAAGTGTGCGTCCAAACCTCTCCTCAGAGGGCAAATCACAGGTAAGCATCTCTTCAGAGGTGTTGAGAGTGGGATCTTCTGGGTTCAAGCACAGCAGTAGCAGTGAAGAGTCCTGTGTGTGATTCCCAGCTTTGCCATACATTTGGGTAAGTCTCTGCCTTAGTTTTTGCTTTCTGTAAGCTGGTGTTAATGCTTATTTCATAGAAACTTATTAATGTGCAATAAAGCACATTGAGATCCTTGGCTGAGAGGTGCAATAAAAAGGAAAGTATTGTTCAATGTAATTAGTTTGAGAAGGGTCAGAAAAAGGGTAGTGACCTGTTATTGTATGGGCTTTGTGTGACCTGCAGCAAGCTGAGTGCAGTTAAACTGCTAACATCCACAGAATGGCCTAAAATGTTACTGGAAAAGCCCAGTTTCTTTAATGCAGGAAATGGCAAAAACTTTTAAAAATCTGTAATGGAAAAGGTAATTTTTCTCCGTAGTGTAACATAAAGTTTTGGGATTGGTTTGTTAATGGGAGAGAACTGCTGAGTCCTTTCCATTGCTATGGGTATCTTACTGGACTGCATGGATGCTGTTTTTAGGTTAGTAGGAAAACTCAACAACCTTTTTTTTTTTTTTTTTTTTTTTTTTTTT